GCAGGGCGCACAGAGGTGGGGTTCGCACACACACTGAATTATGGGTGTGCATATGCACGCACACTTTCTGCATGTGCACTTTCTGCAGATGACAACAAAAAGATTAGCCATCACTGGTCTAGCCCTTAAATAATAGCATGCTAAAAGTTATCAATAGAAATGTAACAAGAGCAATTCTCTGACATCCATCTATTAACAAAAACATAATCCTAAACTATAATAAAAAAATAAAAGGAATTTAATGGAAAAGGATATGAGACAAGAAAGGCAAGCTATTTCTCTAAATAGATTATCAATGCCGAATTTGTAGACTTGCAAATACATTAGAAATTAAGACAATCTTTTACAGTAGAGTGTAATAATCACATAGAAATGATGCAAGATAACATGAGCTAATACTTGTTATAGATCAGGGGTGTCAAACTCATGTTGCTATAGCGGTGTCACATGATGTATCGGGACTTTCTTCCCCTTCGCTAAACCTGGAGTGGGTGTGGCCAGTGTGTGACGCATCCAGCCTGTGGGCCAGGAGTTTGACAGCCCTGTTATAGATAGTTCAGCTGGAACCAACTAAGGATGTGCATCAGAATCTCTTAAATCCTAAATTAAAGCAGGGATTTTTAGATTGATATTTCCCAAAGTAAAGTAAAATACCTACAAAGTGACCCAACCTGTATTAGGAATATTACAAAAGACTTTTCTTACTTTTGCCTTACCACATAAACAGAATCTTACCGGCTTCATTTTCAGATAATTGCAACAGTCCAGGCATTGGTGGATGAAGAAAGTAACAACCTGGATGCTCTTGTAAAAAACTATCAGCTGCTGTAGCATCTATTCTGAGTGCAAACCAGGTAATAAGGCCATTCTCATCTTCTTTGCCTGTATTCAAATCTTTTGCATTTATTCTTTGAGGTTCCACTCCCATAAAAATTGTAGTGATAGTTTTTGTCTGCTCCAGATATCTCTTTATATCCTTATAGAAAAATTTACAAAGCTTAACCTTTGGATACTGGAAACCACGTTCATCATCATCTGATGTAACTAAAGGATTTAAATGTGAAAAAATGATATATATGGTTGTTGGCTCCTTTTGTTTCATGCTCAGCCACTCTGAATCTACTCTCTTCTCACTCTTCCTATCCAAAAATGTCCTGCAAAAATAATGCTCCGGTTCTTTGACTTGATAAGTGAAGAAAAATGGTTCCAATCCACCTTCCACATTAGCTAATAAATTAGCTATGTTTTTATATCCCCAAAATCTAGCAATATCCAATGCCGTTTGGTTTGAAGTATTGGTTCTGAACCTGTCACACCTTTAAAACAAAAAAATTCAAAAAGTTACTTGGGGGTAACATTTTCAGACAGAATGTCATATATCTGGTAACATAAAAATATACTAATCTCACTGGTGATATAATATCAACACTGAACACAGTAAAATACATCATAGCCCAGTTAGGATTTTGAACTACCACAAGTTTTCATTGCAGAACATAAGGAACACCAAAATATGTTTTTGAACAGTGATAAAACAACAGGTAGAGAAAAGGAATGGAGGATCATTAAAGAAGGCAAAAATACAACTCAGTCCTTAGAAAGTAGAAAGCATGACAAAGTAGCTGAAAATAATTTGGACAGTCTTTCAAAACTGTTGTTAGCCCTTTGAAATACGTCAGGTCAACAATTAGACCCGTATAAGAATTCCAGGAATTCTATTTTATTGTTATTTAGGGTGTAGTATCATAATCTTCAAAATATGCCAGTTTCTTTTCACTCCATTTTATATCAAACATAATTGAGATGCAGTTATTTTAGTTTCTTTATCACACTTTCCACTTTCCTAGGACTCAATTCTATGTAAACCCAGGTTTCACAGCACTTAGTCATGATCTTGAACAGTCACTATCTCAGTTTACTTCATACTATTGCCTATAAGCAAATAAAATGAGATGAAACCCAGTGAATTCCCAGTGAAAAGGCAAAATATACATGTTTTCTTTTTCATTTTAACTGCATGTAATGTAATTTTTGCTGTGTTCATTTTAACCATGAACCTAAATGAGTGCATTGCTCTAAGCAAATAGAATAACCTCCACAGAGAAGTAATTTCAACAAGGCTGTAACTTTAGACAAGTTGAACAATATTATTTTCCTTTTTTTTTCTCTTACCTTTTATCAAGAAGAACCTGCACAACATCAAAGTGACCATTTCTAGTCGCATACATTAGGGCCGTCCAACCATTCCTAGCAGTTTCATTGATAAGAGAAGGAGAACGATCCAGAAGTGCTGTAAGCCTGGCTTTGTTTCCATCAGCAGCAAGCTGGTGAAGCTCAGAAACCAGTTGCTTTTTGGGATTTCCTTCGCTATCTTCCATAATCTGTTTGATTAAAAAGGTAACACAGGGTGAAAAACTGGATCACAGCACATTATATTGATCTGATTTCACATTTATAGGGTAACTAAATTCAAAAGACAATAGACACAGCCTATAAACAATTCAACAAAAACAAGAGGCTACAAGAAAAGTAATTAAAAGTGATTCTTCTGGAATAAAGCTTGCTAGTTAATGAACGGTAAACAAAAGTCTAACAAAAGCAGAGTTAAAAAGTACCACTTGCAGTTACCACTTCTCTTCTTGTGCAGGCTGCTTAATTTGAACTGCAGCTTTTGATTAATTCTTTGTTGCTACAGTATTTCTATCAAAGATAAATTCCTTCTATTGCCGGCTCTTAACTCTATGATCTTAGCTCTCATAGCCATAATGGCTGTTCGACGTATAACTTACGAATGCATAAATAACATACTAGGACTTCATATTTCACGCTTAATCGGGTTCAATAAAAACATTATCGCTACTTCTCCGGGACTCACATTGAAAACATTTTTTTCCTCAGCACATTGAAACATCAAAATGCTTTATTCTCCCTTACAAGAATAACAGATATATTATTGAGATCAGGATGTATTGTTTTTGAAATTCCTTAGATTTTAACACATCTAGTATTGGAATAAATTGAATAGCATACAAAGTGATTTGATAGGATCTGCTTGATGTAAGGCTAATGCTTCTTAAGCATTAGTGATAGAATCAGTTTTGTTTGGTGGTTAAGGTACTAGACTAGGAACAAGGAGTTCTTTAGTTCAAATCCTGTTTTAGCCATGGATGCCAAGCAGGTGGCTTTGAGCTAATCATTCACTCACTCTAAGTCCTAAACAAGCAGTGACAAAACAATTCCAAAATCCTTGCTAAGCCACTAGCATACAAAACTGATTCAAAGGCACTTTCCCCACCTCAACAACCTTACATTTTATGTCTGAAAATACACAGCAGAAGGACTCAGTCCTCAAACAAATGAGGGCCTTATTTCATAGGCACCAGGCATCTAGTGAGTTTATTTGCCAGGCAGGGAGTCAAATTGGGATTAAAAAACTCAACTTCAAATGTTCATGGCTACAACTGCAGTTGCTTCCAAGCCTTACATCCTTAAGATTTCCTCGTGGCCTCCCATCCCAGTTCGATCCTTAGTTTTTCCAGGTCAAACGAGGGTCTACAGCCCATTTCCAGTCCGGAAAGTGAAACTTGTATATCAGCCCGATATTTGTACATTTCCTGTCTGAAACAATACTGGATTTCTCTCTGTAACTTTAAGAAGCTTTCCCTTCGTTTCTCCATCCATCGCAAGAAACTGGGAAATGGACGCCTGGTAAAGGCTTTTGCTGGCAGGCTCAGACTTGGGTTCCTTTCAACGGACGATGAAGAGGATATGAGGAACTAGGAGTAAGGGGAATGTGGTTAAGTCCAGCCCAAGGGAGATAAAATTTTCATTACCTCCATTCCGCTGCGATTACCCTCACGGCGTTTTTCCGGAGACGTCTCCAGCGTCAAGCGTTGCATTTTGGGAATTGTAGTTTCTTGCTCAAAGGAAAGCAGTTCAGCAGTATTTTAAATAGTTCTCTTTCATACTCGCTCGCACACTGACGCTTTTAGTGTATTTGGCAATAAAGTATAGTATAAAATAAAAAAATTAAAAAAATAATAGACTTCATTTAAAGAGTTGTCCTCGGATAACGTTCCTTACTGTTTTAAGTCTAGACACCTTTCTCTAACAGCCTCCGATATCTTGGTAGGTTGTATTTCTATGGAAGCATTCATCGAATGGACGGCAAACTCTTGAATTTATTTTGGGCGATTTAACGAAAGATATGCTGAGGCTGAAATGCTTTCCTAATGAATCCACTGAGATGTATTAGTAGGAAGACAAGCAGATTAAACAGAATTGTTGTGGCATGCTGTCTTCATAAAAATTTGCGTATTTTCAAAAAGAAAAGTCTCAAGTTTATTGAAAATAATGGAAACAAACAAACAAACACTCACAGAGATTTTTTTTTGCTAAACCTTTTGTTGTGTATTGGCTTCCAGAAGCAATTGAAAACTTCAATTAATTCATCAGGGATCTTTTTTTTCCTTACAAAAAGTGAAAATCCCATTTTTCCTGTTTGCCATGTGCAGATTATGACTGATTTGAATTAATCTTAATTTAGATTACTTTATTAACTTTTAATAAGTCTATTTTGAATCTGATAATTTTGGAAAGCTTGCTCTCTGATCTTATATCTGGGATACAGTGAAAAGGATTTCAATGCATCCAAATTATAGAATTATTTTCATTATTAGTTTTTTATTATTTTAAGAGAAGTGTGATTTATTCAAGGCTGGGAAAAAATGGATGCTGACTGCCAATGAGAGGTATGATTTTGTTCCCTTCAAATATATGAATACTATAGGAAGTCTGCCCCCCCCCATTAAAATATTCTTTGTTCTTAATATTAAAAGTGGCAGGATAGAATATTTCCCCAAAAGAGCGATAAAGAAACTTTCTCTTAAAGGCAGAAAACAGCCCCAGTCTTCCTCCTATAGGAAATAGCCTCTAGCAGATGCCTGAAATCCTTAGCGGTGGATATTTTGTGCTCATTAAGAAATCCAAGTCAGACTATTCATAAATAAAAAAACCCTTCAGCCCAGCTCACTGAAAGTTGATGGGATTAAGAATTAACACTCCTCCAAAGATAGGACATGATATATAGGATATACCGGTAATATGATTTACCCACCACCATTAGAATAGCAAAAGGCACAAGGCATTTGCCCAGGTTCGCCTGGTGCACCAGTTGCGCCCCTACCTGAACCGGGAGGCTCTCACAACAGTCACTCGTGCCCTTGTGACCTCTAGGCTGGAGTACTGCAATGTGCTCTACATGGGGCTGCCCTTGAAGAGNATCTGGGCCTGTTCAGCCTAACACAGGAGGTCGTTTGATTGGAATTGTATCCAGACTACTTGAAAAAAAAAAAGACAGCTCAGCTCTCCCATGGGAAAGGTAGGAAAGTCCCAAATTGGCAATCAAAAAAGAAACAGGAATAGAAATAACCGCTGGCTATACTCTCCAGTTTCTCAAAAAGACGACATCTCTGTTACCCAGTGACAAAAGGTAATGATACCTCCAGCAGTCATGGTTAAGCCACATTTCCATTTTTTCTCCCGAGTTCCACAGAGAACATCCTTTATCTTGCAGTTCAAAAAGGAAACCAGGTTCATAGCTGCTGGTTAAATTTGGGTTCTGCCATTTGTTCTACTTCCTGCACTTTTCTTGTTTCAGTGTTAGTCCGCAATACATTTAACTTCAATTTGATATAATTGGACTAGAGGTATTGAGTGAAGAAAATGCAGGGAACAACTTTGTTAGTGAACTCTCTACGGAGGCAAAATCTTTTTAATAGATGTCACACAGCTGAAGGGTTTAGAAAGACTTTATTAAAGAGCTCCAGGGGACAAAAAAGCCAAAAGTCAGCTTGCTAATTCCAAACTTCTCTCAATTTAAACAGTTAATAATATTAATGTAATATTGATGACACATTTAGAACAATTCTTAATCTGGTATGTTGGAGAAACGTAGGAACCTGCTTAATGCAAATATATCCAGAAATCCAAAATTATAACTTTATGATTTAGTAATGCTAATGGTAACGCTGTGCAAAACACAGCAAGCTTCTTACAAGAATGAGATTTTAGTTCGCATTGGTAATGCAATGTCTATTCTTCTAATAGGATTTTTACAATTTTGTTTTAAGAATTGCATAGTACATTAGTAAGAATATTATACTGATACTATATTTACAATTTTGCAGCGTTTAATGAACTAATGATAAAATGCTACTTAATATTTTATACTAGGCATAAGAAATCATTTCAGGTATGCAATTTTATGAGCCTCCTCCCCTCAAAAAATCATGTGAGCTTGGGTAACAATGTAGAGATTTTGTAAGATTTGGTTTATGAGATTTTTTGACACTTCTCATTTAAAATTTTAACTGCATTAAAAAAAAACTTTTGTAGGTCAACGGTTCTAATCAGGCTATCATAGGTACTATATGTACAGTGCTTGCTCGGAAAACACCCAGCTTATTTCCTAATAAAATAAGCTTTTATGAGCCTATTTATCAATAAACTAGGCAACATTTGATAAAATTTGTCAAAAGAACTGTTAAGTATAAATATTACAGGGAATAATTACAGGAGTGTGGGGAATGAAAGAATTGAAAATCTAAAATTACTACTATAATTATATTAAGTTTAATTTTATCTTAAAAGATGCAGTTATAATGCAATGCAAATATTAGCTTGCTGAATTTAAAGATTAGCATTCATTCCAATCCAGTGTTTTATCAGCTGATGAGCGATGGCCTGATATGGTGGCACAAAAATATTTTGGTTCTTTTTGTTGAGGATCTCTATTATCTGAAATGTAAAAATAAACAAATAAATATCAGAACAAGAAACTCACATTACGCAGTAATTGAAAATCAGTAGTTAAGATCAATGACCAACTGTTTTTGATAGAAGACATTGGGCAAACCTCATATCTGCTCATTACTTCTTATATAGGTAGTGCTTACTATTTCTGGAATGATCTACTCCCTTTTTTATTTCAAAAATTGGTGAAGGGAAAGCCACACACTAAAAGCATCGGTTCCTTTAAAAAAATATCAATGTAATATTATTTCAAAATATGTTTCTACAAGTTTCAAAAAAAACAATGTATATCTGCTAATAATTCTTCACCCTGAAAAATTAAAAATGAACAGATGGAAAGCATCCTTTAAAACCAGAGAATGTTACTTGATCACTCTGGCAGGTCAACAAATTCGGTAACGAAGAAAACAACTAAAGCGAAATATGAAGGAAAAACATGGGAGACAATCACTTTATGAAATAATTGTTTTAGCGGTATTTTATCTCATCACCAACAGCCAAAATATTTTATGGAAATAGAACTTGTCCTAATAAAAATGGTCACCTCATTTATCTGATATCTCCAAGGAGACAATATTGTAAAACTGAATCATTACGCTTGGAGTGAAAACCATGTATTTCTAATAGTCTTCAATGAAATGTACCTACTGGCAAGATCTATGGGCTCAACAGAGAAACAATTGCTTGTATCAATTCTTTGACCAACATATAATTTTCAATTTCAGTGTAATCACTGTACAATAAGGAGAGTAAGAAGTTTAATTTGTTTGAGTGAAAAAGCACATCCATATTGTATGCCCTAACCAATGCATTCTGAGGACAATCAATAAGAAAAGGAAATTAAATTGAACTTTACCTGTTCTCTACTGAACCAGCGGGCATCTTCTATTTCAATGTTGTCAACTTTAATTTCGGTAGACACTGCAGCTGCTATGCATCCAATCATTAGGGAGGAGGGCATTGGCCATGGCTGACAAGAGACATACTCAACACGGCCCACTTTAACTCCACTTTCCTCTTCTACTTCCCTTCGAACAGCATTTTCAATTGTCTCACCTAATCAAAGAAAAAATAGAACAGTTAATTGACAAAGCTAAATGCAAAGATTGTACCTTGTGCTTTAAAGTACTCCAAAAGATATGAAACTTTCTTGAGCAATCATTTGTGGCTATTCAAACATCAGAGCATAAACTATTTTCAACAGAAAAATTAATTGTCCAAAAGCAAAAGCATGTCAAAGCAATGTATGCTAATAATTTCAAAAGATGTAAACTGATTGCACATCTTTGGTAGCCCCTCCCTGCCAGTGCGTTTACCAATGAGCGTATTTTCAAGTCTAATTAAATTATTTCCATATTCCCCCCCCACCAATAGTTTTACTGTACATTGGTAACTCATATCCAGCAAGATAAAGAAACTGAATCCACACAGCTCATGGGATCCACTGAAAATGAGAGTAACAGGCCATGTCTAGGAAGGGGAGGGAATACTTGCAACAACAAATGTCTTGCAGCATCTTAAGGTTTGGAATAAGTTTTAATAATTTAAATTTCTAAAGAACAGACCTGTATTGGAAAAAGTTGTGCAAAACTCGTATTAATGGAAATTGTAATTTTTATGCTAATCTTAATTAAAGGCTGCAATGAGCTTTCAATTACTTGTTTGGCTTTATAGATTTTAAACCTCATTTTTAATCATCTGAACATCATTTTTCAAGAGTTGACGCTTGGGATCTTTGCATTTTAAAGCACGTTGACAGCTCCAGTTCAAATAAAGAAAGGAGGACTTGCAAACTGCTTTGAGAATAACAGCTATAGATTGTAATTATGCAAATATTTTAATATTTCTTTAATTTTTAGCTCAGTGCATCTATTAAGTTCAAACTAATGAAATGCTTTTAGATACACATGGACCTCCATTAACGGTACTTTTAATATATAGCAGAACTGAACAATCTTTTTCATGCTGAGAACCAGACTATCCTACTAAATGATAGACATATCATACAGTCAAAAATTGATATAGCTGAAGGAAGGCAGGGAATCATTTAAATCTAAAAAAAAAAAAATCAAAACATTCAAATAAAAAAGAACACCAACAGTAGTAAAGTACTTAAAATGGCATTTTGCAATTGAATTCTGACAGCATGCTATGAAGTTTAATAACATTATATGGGGAGGACTCTGGAAGCTGCATACACTGATATATGAGAAAAACAATCTAGCAATCACAGGATTTTTCTTGAGGTCGATGTTTCCTACACATTCCACACACACACACACACACACACACACACACACACACACAC